AATAGTCTATTCTCTTCAGTTCATAGCTTTTCTCTTGGTTGCACTGCTTCCAGCAGTGTATGTTTATATTAGAGCTTTTATCCAATCATATTTCAGCAATCGTGTTGCCAGGGTCAAAGAAATCTGCCTTAAGGCCTTCAGAATCCTCAGTGCAGGCGTCTGTTAGCTTAAATCAACGAAACCGTTGCTTTAACCAATCAGATTTCGAGTTGGCAGCACCAGGGCCATCTAGCTGGCTAACGATAATGTCAGCATTTTCCCGTCCTTTGATTGGATGGTCAGCATACAAGCTAGCAAACAGCATCACTGTAAATCATTTTATTAAAACTTAGAAAAACTTTTATTACTGTTCCTCAGGTTTAGATTTTCAGTGCATTTAGAAAAAAATATTTGCCTACTATATTTAGTATATCTAAAAACAGTAGTCCTAATGACTGAACAACCACACACACACACACCTCCTCGGCACCGGCTCTGTGAAAGACTCGTGAAGGTGAAAAAATACTAGAGTATGGTAGGTTCATTTTCGACTCTTTTATCGCTTGATGCGTTGTATGCTGATGTTATTTGCGCGATATAAAGCCAGGTTTAATTTTCCGTAAGAATATCTCAGTTTCCCGAGTGGAGATGTATTAACCGGTCTTTTCCTCCGGCCGCAGCGCCACTGGCAGAGGCAGACCAGCGGGGAGATGAGGGTCACAGAGGTACACTTTTCTTCATCGTCCTGTATGAATTATTTTAATGTTACTTGCTCACTTTCCTAGTAAAGCTGTGCTAAGCAGTATTTTCCTCCCGCAGTGCGCTGGCAGACCGGCGGGGAGACTCGTGAAGACGAAATAAAATAAGAGAACATTAAATTGTTAGATCAACTTTAAAGCACATGTAATCACCTTAATTGTTTTATACCAATGCTATCTGTAAGGTATAAATGCGTTTGGGTGAATAAATGTCTGTAAGAACATCGGATGGACTGTATTTGTGTGATTTTGTTAGGTTAATGTTTCAGCTACAGATGATGCGTTGCGCAATTGTTAATTGTTTTTTTTCTTTAGTAATGGCATTCCTTCTCGCTACATAAGATACCTGTCTGTTATGTAGTGCCCTGTTATACTGCATTACTGTGTAATATTTATGGTTTCTATAGCCGTGGCATCATTATGATGGTATGAAGAGATGGATTAATTCATGTAGGACGCCACTGAAGGCCTAGGTGTGAAATGCACGGCCCGCCACTGCATCTGACTGCTAAGTAGGGATTGTGTTTTTCAGCAATAATGCTGTGCACCCTTAATTTACAGAGAAAAGAAGATCAGGGAAAAATCTGTAGATGGAAAAAAAATCTCCATACAAGTTCTTTGTGCATTTTTCTTTTTTTCTACTTGTTACTTTGCACTTTTTGTTAGAAAATGTTTATTTACAATTTATTCAGGTTTTTTAAGGTATCTAATATTTTGATACTTAATTTCCTTGATCTAAATATTCTTAAAAAATTTAAGTTTGTTGTCATTTGGAAGTGCGTTGGCCTTCTTGCATTATTATGCTGTTACATTATGGTTATATATTCAGTGGCATACAACGGTATTTAAAATTACAATATCACTTATCGCAATTATTTCTGGGGCAATATATCGCACAACAAAAAGTTGTTATCGTGACAGGCCTAGCAATAATACACTCAGGTCATTTCATTGACAAATTAAAATATCCTTCAGTTAAGATAAAGGTACGGAAACACCTCAACATACCTCGCCTCCTCCTGAACTTGACCTGGTATCTCTTGAAATATGCCTTGTTCTTAACCACCTTAACGAAGCCCTGCTCAAAAAAAAAAAAACTATCGTTAAACTGTTGACAAGCATGACTGTCCAAAACAACATATTCGGAAGCAATCTGACACGGTCACATATTGTCATAATCAAGTGATGCAATGCGCTACGTGACAGTAAACCTGAAACTAAATAAAGGAACGAAAATCTAACCAGTGCAAACAAAAACGACTCCAGAGGGAGAAATGTTTATTTTATGCGCTTTCCGTGTCAACAAAATTATTACTTGAGGATTTAGAGAAAAATGTGCCGCTGACGTTCACACAGCGACTGGTCTGATTGACTTCAATCTATAACCATCCCGTCGCTTCAAGTGTTCATCTTTAATGGAAATCGAGCTGAAATAGCGGGAGAGGGGACGTAATGACTAGAACATTGTAGTTTGGTGATTTACTGACCATTTTGTGATCGTTTGTTCTCCTTTAGGTTGGGAGACTGAAGTCGTCAGACTCCGATACTGCTCCCGCTGCACTGTGAAAAGGAAGTTCATGCTGCGCTGCGACCAGAAAATCAAAGCACTCGGAGACAAAAGTGTGTGCTCCTCTAGCGTCCCGGAGGATAGACGGCAACATATTCTAATGCATGAAACTTCAACATTTCATTCAACTGCATAGATAGATAGATAGATAGATAGATTCAACTTCATTATTACAAATGTATAATGATTTATTTATTTAAATACACAGCATGCAAGTTTCAATAGAAATTACATTTAAGTATATTCCAATTTACCATAAATTTAACAGTACACTTTAACCAAATTCCCAGAACACTAGAAGTAATTATGAAATAACAATGTCCAACTTAATTGGGCCAGAAATATAATCCATTTTCATTTAACTGCAATTAACATGCAGTTAAGTGTTAAACATTACATTTATTTGACACTTACATATTACTTTAAAGTACATTGTTGCTCCTGTGGCTCAGTGGTCGAGCATTGCGTTAGCAGCGTGAAAGGTTGTGGGTTCGATTCCCAGAGGACACACATACTGGTAAAAAAAATGTTGCCTGAATGCACTGTAAGCCGTCTGCTAAATTCATTAGTATTCTTATATCGTATTAACGAGTTGCAACTAACAATACCAATAATCAACAATAACAGTACACACTAATAATAAATACATATGAGGGGCTAAATGCAGCCTAAATAGACAATAAAACAAGTGAACACTCGTTAGTAAACGCTTATTTAGTATTTTAACAGCAAATGTCACAGTTTGTAAAGTGTTTAAATGAGTAGTGTGAAATGTGGTGTGAAAATGTTCATATAGTGTTGCAAAGAAACCATAACTACCGTGTGAACTTCCTTAAAAGTGGGGGGGACTAGATGCCACTCAACCTAATGTTGACACACAGTTCTAAAACTTCCTTTCTGCATATCGCTTCTCTGTCAAAGCTGGTCTCACTGGATGAGATTAACAATGTAGCAGATTCCCTTGGAAGGCAAACAGGATGAAGTCCCCAAGGTAAATGTTATCTCTGGGCCTATATTTGTCAGCTAAAAATTATAAAAAGTTGTAAGAGGAAGTTGTTCACTCAAGTCAGGTCACTTTAAAAACAAGCTCCCGAGTCACTGGCAGAGCTCTTATTTTGAGGAACTTTGACCAGTGTGTGAGACTTTGCTATAAAGCGACATGTGATTCTTTTGTCGTTTTGTTGTCCCCCCCCCCCTGCGGTATGTAAGAACCAGGTGTGACAGCTAATGTCACTGGAACAAGTTTGACAGACGAAAGATTTTGTGGAGACATTTGCACCTCCAAATACCAAGAATCCTGCACACTGGTAAAAAATCCCAGTTTTCACTATTATGAGGCCAATGATCCTGTTATAAATGTCATAAAATATGATAAACAATCTAGATGTGATACATGTGCATGAAAATAGCAATGTACTTATATGTATATATTTCATCATCTTCACATATACATAGAAACTAATATATATATATATATATATATATATATATATATATATATATATGTATATGTATATGTATATGTATATATATATATATATATACGAAGAGTTTGGTTCCAAAACGCGATAAATGCTATTTAAAAAAAATAAAGAAAGTTTTTCCGCCAAAATCAGTATTGTATCTGGTCGGTATTGAAAAGTCAAATTTAAATTTTACGCAAAATGCGATATCCGTTGAGTTATTCTGTCATGTTTTCTCCATTTTTTTCCAAACCGCGACAAACCGCGTCTTCCTTTTCTGCAGAATGGATATATCCGCTCAACCAATCACAGCGCACCATTCCACGCACTGTAAAC